GTACCAATCAAGCTTTCTACCTAGCGTCGAACACCACTGAAGGTAGTTGTAATGAGCTGTAACATCTAGTTCATATACTACTTAGTACATCTTGTCAATGGAACATAGTGTACTCTAACTAGACTTCGACACTAGTGTGTTACTTTGTACGTCGCATTTTCATTGTTTTAAATCCTCGAGATGAAAATAAAAATATCCTTTTAGATATATAGTCTTAATGAGTTTTATTACAAAATGATTCAATTAATTATAAGGTGACTTATAACTTGGACTCTTTAAATTGAAGTGATCTTGTAGAGATTTTCGAAGGTAATTCTCATGAGGCATGGGGTTATGGAGCATGTGTACTTTGTTTATAGTCTCAAAACAATGACGAAATAGTTATCCAGTGCAAAACAGTTCATCAACCCGTATAATCAAATTTCTATGTAAACTAAAGGATTGAACCCAGTAAATCTGTTGCTTAACAAAGTATAAAGATGAAGGAAATAATTTCATTGGAATATCCATCAGTCTTCAGGTTAAAAATGGCTTGTGAAAGTTTTTTAAAATAATTTAATGGATGTCATCTATGAAAGACTGACAGAACCATTAAAATGCAAGACATTCTAAATAACTTGTGAGACAATCGTTTAAAGACAACTTCTAGCTATTACGTTGCAAGTTAAAATCCAATCGTAATTTCGTTTAAGTAAACAGTCAGTGTTTGTAGGTTCCCCTCTAATCGACTATACTGTTTAATATGATGGCAAAAATAAGCCTTTTTTACTTGGTTTTTTTAATCATGTTACCTTTGTTGTATATCTTAGTTGACATTTGGATAAAAAAGTTTTAATTGTCAAACTTTCGAATTTCATATTGAGTAAGCTTTTTTAAGTTATTTAGTCAGCGTAATACATCTCGTGGTTTGCACAGCTATCATCTATTTTATTAAAAGATGGGTGTTAGTACTTTTGATTTACGATTACCTGATTATGGAGCTAGTGACCAATGTCATGTTTGTTTATTGCCATTGTACCGATCGAATTAAGTCGATCAAATTGCAATATGTTCATCAGTTTTAGTGACTCGACATCGTGTTCTGTATGTTGAACTGTCAAACGGTTTGAGTTAGTCTGCGGGAAACTTCTGACTTAGGTTTCGAGCTAGTTGGCACGCCTGAAATTCGGAGAAAACTGATGCTTCCTTTAGTATTTGAATCCCCATCACCCAGCTTCACGGTCGAAGACGTTAATACTAAGCTATTTGAACCGTGACAGATCCTGTAGGACCAAGATGTCTTTACAATTAATTGATCACTGGGTGTTGAAGAGTGCTAAATAGCACGAAAACTAGGTACGGGGTTTCATGTCTACTTCCTCATACTACCTACTATACTATTGATTTATTTATTTCCATACTTTACAACGCATCTTACCCCTATTTAGTGCTTAAATTAGTATCATAGCCAACATTATTATTTTCTATCTATTCATTTCTAGTATCATAGAAAAAAAACATTCGCAGAAGATTTAACTGAAGGAAAATTCAGTTATCCTATTGTTCGTGCCATTAACGATTATCCTGATGACAATCAAGTGATGAATATTCTCTCACAACATACCACAAATTCATCATTAAAACTATATTGTGTTAAACATATGTTAGAGTTGGGTGCATTAGAACAAACTGTATTGAAGTTAGCGAAGTTAGAAGAAAGGTATGTATGTATGTATGTATGTACAGCCATCTCCTTCTTAGTCGATGTGTCACATCTTAGTTTTGTCGCTGTTCTAAAATTCTTTTGACTGGTATTTTCTCAAACTATGTATGCCATAAGTGCCACAACGAAAGGTCACTAACCAATGGTTAGTATGCTATCAAAACCTGTCATCGATAGTCCTTGATCCCGATGTGTATGTTTAAAGGGGAAAGTAACATATGTCACTATTAAAACAATAGTCATAAGAAGGCATAAAGTATTAAGATGATATTTTTGTGTCAAGTAATGATTAAAAGTCTAAACTAACAAAATGACGATCTCAAATAAACTTCATACGGTCATAAGATTTCAAAAACTTATTTATTTGATTTCCCATTTGAATAGATTATTGAGCTACAACATGATATTTGGACTCAACAATTTCATCATTCAAAATGAATTTTTCGCCTCATCAATTTTTAGAAAAGATGCTTGGTCTATTGCGTTCGTACCAAGTTTTACGATAAGTGTACAGAGTATCAGTTTCCCCTTTTATTAGAGAATTAGTAACATTAATTGGCATATTTTACAATATGATGGGAAATCAGTTTTGGGTATAATCCAGACAAACCATTTGATTTATCACTCGACTATTGAAATGATGAATTAGTTTTATTGATTAGGATTTCAAAAGATCTTCAGAATTCGTGTCTATAGTCACAGATACCATAATATATCCGTTGATTTTTTTAAAAGAACATAAATTTAGTATCTCCAAAGTTCTATATTTCCAGCAATTCCTGATGGTCATATAATACACATCAGGTACTGTACCGGGTTCACTAGTTAACTGAGTCGAACGGGAATTTCAAAACTAGGTACAGTTTTTGGGCGTTCACAAATTCTGTCATCTTGGTTAACAGTGTCCTGAGTTTTATCTAAGACTATAGAATGCTACTTATGGATTCTAATGCGATTCAGCGACCCTGTTTAGTGTTAATCCACTTAACAGTTCACTAAATTTGAACGATTGACATGGATTGCATAGGACTAAGAAAAGCTGCGTCCACTTCCTCGTTATTTAACCACCAATACCCAAAACTCCTGATGTTTCTCTGCAAAATAGCTTCAAATACTTTCGGTGAGAATATCATTAAGTATTTTGTTTGTACTGCAAAATTCAGTTGATTATACTCGTTAGTATATTGTCATGGTCTTCGATCTAGTTCAGTCACATTGCAAGCTTCTTAACGCTTGCTCGATCGACCATACAGAGGAAAAACGATAAGAATGGGTAGGAAGCTGCATATTGAAATCGAATAATGATGTGCAAAACGTATGCATATACATGTTATTACACTGATACAGACAAAATATGTGAACAGTGACCTTGGATAAGTGGAGAATTTACTTGCACATATCTCATCCATACATAGCCTACCTTCCATGTGAGGTTGAGACTAAGTTACAACATATTTGGCCTTTCAGCAACCCAAGATCTGTCCGGAATCGTCCTGGATATCATAGACTCACCCATATGATATTTTTACTGTTAAATTTTATACTACTACAGTTTACTAAATGTAGTTCCTTAATGAAAAGTTGCATTTAGTGGGTACTGAATTTAGTGTCGTAAGAGCTGTTTTTCTCGTTCACATGTATAAAACTTTAACATTCTTAGTGAATGCTTTTTGGTTCGTGTCTAAGTTAGGAAATGAAATTAGAAGTCGAGTGTCTCGTGGATTTCATGAAAAAATACTTTTAGAATATGTAACTACATTAGAAATTGTTTTTCATGATCCTTATCCATAGAAACTCTAATGAGAAGTATCCAATTTAAGCGTATAAATTAATATCGAGTTCAATTTACAAAACAATGAAAGTCTGTGAGTATCGAAACTGTAAAATCTTAAGAAATTTTGGGGCACATATCAAGTGCAACAGTAAAAACAATCGACAACTCAAATTGAATTCATCAACTGTACTGAAAAGAAATCGATAAAGACTGTTGCTTTTGTAAAATGAGAAATGCGATCATAAGGTACATGGTGTCCAGTAATACTGGCATCAATTAAATACGTTGTTTTCATTTGATCTCATGATATAAGACTAGCTAAATAGAGCAGGTAACGAAGGTGATCAACTTACATACAGTTTAAAAGCATATCTCATGATTCATGTGTACCTTAGGTGACACATACTGAAATCGTTTATTCTTCCTAAATTCACATTCATCTTTTGCGTAATCTCTCTTTAATCGCTTTTTTTCTGTAGATGCAGTCAGTTAATTGTGAAGTATGGCAATAATCCTTTGCTTTCTGAGGTAATCCAGAAACTAACTGATCTACATCGTACACCTGATGGTCATTTACGGTTTATTACACCAAGGGATCTTAACTATGACTCATTAGATCACAATGAGATATCTATTGCTAGTGGTCATATTAATCCTGTTTCTAAATGAGAGATACAGTAATAATTGATGTGAAATATATATATATTTAGCAAATTAACTACACTTTATTTTCAGTTGAGTGTGGAAAAAACCGATCTATTCAAAAAAGCAATTTATTTGCAACACATACTTAAATATGTATACGATATTTTTTGTTATACTACACCGATGGGATTGTTTCGTTTCAGTCTTTTGTTTACCTAATTCTTTTTAAACTGTGATGATCATTTCCATCTCTGTATAATTTTATCTTTCCTCGCTTTGTTTTTTCATTCTTTACACTTTACATTTTTACATATTTGATCTCTTTCCTTTAATTTATGTTAAAGGTGTTCTTCTGTATGTTTATTTTGTAAATTTCAAAACAATTTATTTATAATAACGAACCATTTATTGAAATTTCGCTGTTCTCTATTTCTCTAGTCTAATATTCTAATTTTTGTGTCGTAATCTGACCAGTTCTCTGTCATATATCTGCGTAATTCTTTTTTAATACAGTCCAATAGTTTCACGTTCATACTTCAATTAAAAAGCTATTAGATTTCGGGTGTTTTGTCCAAGCCGGTGATATAATGTGAAGGAAGTTTCAATCAATTGCCTGACTTCCGTGTATCATCTTTACGGTTTTGAAGGAGGCTCTAGATGGAGTTAAGATTGATCCATTACTATATTTTATTGATATATAATATAGCGTTACTATCAAACCGTAGTCTTTTTTCGCTTTTATTAGCTTAGTAAATGAAAATACATCTGGCAACTCAGTTACACGAAGACATATTTTACAGTCACTGCTCAGGGATCGATCAATTGTATACAGTTACAATTAATATGTTATGACGCTCAGTTTTCCTGTCTACCTCAGATGGGACGTTAATTTACCTTAGACGAGTATCTACACTAGATACCCTTCCAGTGTCTATTCTACAGGATTTCAACTACTCAGATCAAAAACACATTATTAGCCTGACTAGAACGTAAGTATATTTCCACCGACAATAACCAATAATGATAAGAGTGGGGAACTATATAACTCATCTTGTACACCTGTCAGACTATCTACTAGTCATTATTTTTCTCGCCCACACATCAGATACTGTCGATCAAGTTGCGATCAGCCCACTACTCTGATTGGACATCGTGTGCTGTATGCTGAGCTTTCACATAGTTGGAGGTAGTTGACACAGCCCAGAATGTTGGTTTCGTGAGTTAGTTATACAAAATCTTTCATGATTAACTAGTCTGTAATTTTAATATAGTACGATGAACAACAGACATTTGGTAGTTATTTGCTGTCATTTTTATTATCTGCAGCCTTACAGAGGTGGCTAATGAATGCAAAAAATTCAGTGGACGAAGATGGCAGATCGGGTACAAATCTATCGGATACTTTCGATGACAAACAGGTAATTTTCCTTGTATGATTTCTTAAGCATTTTCACTTCATTGGAAGTATATTACGTAGTTTTGTATACATTAAACTTGTAAAATGAGGTTAAAATAATCGTATGTTACTGTTATGCTTGACACTAAATCGATTCCGCCGTAACGAACGAAAGCCAATGACACGACAAGCTACTCTAATCTGTTGTCCCAGGCCCCGCTAACTAGATGAAGAAGTCCAAGGCAAGTAGGGGAATATATATGTATTCCGTAAGCAGCCGAGTACAAGCAATCGAATAAGGGAAAAAGTCAAGCGCATTTATACAAAAACAATTTGTCCTTGAGCATCATTGGTAAATAGCACACACAAAGAAACAATGGACCAATAGCGTTTAAGATAGTTTACAGGTGGGAAATATGACGTGAAGGTAAAAAGAGCGCTTTTGGCGCGAAAACAGCTAAATTCAAATTTTCAAAATAAAACTACAAGATTAAGCCATTTACCAAGTAAGTTCTGGGGATTTGACATCCCCAACAGTTACTGAAACCAGTTGAATGCAATATCACAAGGGGGTTTTGTGGAGATTTTAGCAATTTTATATAGTTTGGTTGAAGTTAGACATTATCACTGCTGGATGCCGGCTCAGTGGTCTATCGGTTAAATGCTCTGGCGCGAGACTGGTAGGTCCTGAGTTCGAATCCCACGAGGCAGGATCGTGGATGCGCACTGCTGAGGAGTCCCACAATAGGTCGAAGCGGCCGTCCAGTGCTTCCAGGTGGTCTAGCTTCAATTGATTCATGATCTTAACTATATGAATGCAATATGTGTATTTATGAAAGTGAATAGTTATACACAAAGAAATCTTGTGTTTACGTATGTTCACTCTAGGACTTAAACTCAGTACTTTTCATTCTAAACATGAGGATAACTCAGATCCTTCCTAATAATAAAATAAATCCCCATCTTACTGTTGATCGTTAGAGTATATCAAAGTGTATAATCAACACTTGTCTACCTAACGTGATAAGTTTTCACAATCGACAGTATAGTTCCCTAATTATTCTACGTAAGTCTGAGTCACATTTATTACGAGCTTAAGATTATTTAGTCAGATAAACGCAAATCTACTCCGGTATATTATGAGCATTTAAAAAATCTACCATTCAACTAATCAAACAATCTTTGTGAAGTGAGCTATAGTGATTTCTGTCATATACTTCTGTAACTTCTCATAAGTAGGTGGACAGTGATGTAATGGTTCAGTCCTCAATCCTGATACCAATATCTGGTATTGTAGCGCTTTTTATATACGTGAAACAATAAACATTTAGTCAGATTTATAATCGTATTGTGAATTGGCGATAGATCGTTACAAACTCTTGTATGGACTCGTCTGGTTTTTGCATATGTATTTGCAATGTGAATTTGTGTACACGTTTATAAACAAATGCATGTATATTTACCGTGTCTACACTACTTTGTCTTCATATGTAAACTGATTCATACGTAACTAGACGTCTTTTGACCAATACTAACCGAAGGCTACTCTATATTCGTCATTCATACGGTTTTTCTGAGTCATATTCATGAAACATACACATCCACAACACTACTTTTATTCAACCTTTTACTTCCACACTGTTTTAAGGGGATTGGTCGCAAAAAGTATTTATGAAATTACCAAGCATATATATTTCATCATTCATTATCTTTTGGAGTCAAAGTGATGAGTCTTTCATCTATAAAAGTTTTACCAATCCTAGTTGAATCTTAAACAAGAACAACATTTCTTGAGTTGTCTTGACAATATTTTTTGGCAGTGATCAGCTATTAGAACTGGTTATTTGTCATATTATTCTCACTTATTGCTTAATTCAGTAGTCGTTTTTATTTTTTTTAATCCTTAGGATAATTTTAGATTATTTAAAGCGTATAAAGAAGGTCAGTTGGATTTGAACATTTTAAGTACACAGGAAGCAATATCAGCTGCGACCGCAGCAACAGTTGATAATACTACGTCATCAATATTAACATCGTCAAAAAACGGCCAACAAGATGAGCCTTCTTCAAACCAATCTTGGTGTGCACCGCAGTCATCATCTAGTGAAACAAAGCAATCAGTATCTCCTAATAAGCAGTTTACTTTAGGTTCACTTTTGAAACCTAACTTGATAAGTAATATTGCTAAACCTGTTTGGGAATCTCAGCCGCCATCTGTATCACGCGTTCTTGTCTCATCTGCTGACTCAACGGAAGAAAATAAGAGGTAGCTTTGATTGTAAATAAGTAGATAAATTATAAAATTGGATTTTTTCGCATCAAATTCTACACTTAAACTCTCTCATAGTAGTTTAGCTTCAGCTTATGTCAGGAGTATTTGTAGAAATTATGCAACCGACATGTTCGTAAAGAAAACAATAACCAGTTTTGTTATACTTTAAAAAGCTACCATTGATTTAGTCTAACATAATACATACTATCTTTATTTGACTGCCAGTCGTTGAGTACTTTTACTTTTTTCAAAGTATGATAACTACCTGAAGTTTGTTCATCTGTCGCATTGAAAGCCAATGTTCCGATTGTGTATATTTTATTATTCCTTTAAATTATGTGATATGTATATTGATTATAACGTATTGAAGGCCAAGTTGTGTTTGCACAGATTAGCTTGATAGTATCTATAATCATATAAAATTGTTATAAAGGTAGGATACTTTTTATAACGCTAGGGTTTCTTGTTATAACAGTCCTTTCACTTTTTACACGTATGTGGGACGTTAATTTACCTTAGACGAATATCTACATTAGATCCCCACCCAGGGTCTATTCTACAGGACTTCAACACAACTCAGATCAAGAACACGGGATTAGCCTGACTAGAACGTCAATATATTTCCACATCAAAATCCGACACAATCTAACAACAAGGACAGTCAATCAATAGTAATCAGGATAGGGGAATATATAACACATATAACACCTGTCACACTATCTACATGCCTGACTCAGCGAAACAACCAATCATTATCATTCTCTCCACACATCGTAATTCTGCCCAGTGTTCCATTTACTTCACACATTCATTCGTCATTCATTCATCTGTAGAAATATAAAATTCTGATAGACCAATGAGATGGAGTTGCTCTATCGAAATTTATAAAAGGGACTAATTGCTTTAGAAATATAAAAGTCTCAGTAAATTCACAATTTAATCTGTTTTGCTTATTCAACAAATTATTCATTAAACAAAAATAAAGACTTTATAGTGCCGAAAATCTTTTCTACGAACATTATAACTTTGAGAGCAGGTTATATTAGCCGTATAAAGTGTAAACGTCCTGAACAAATGTTTGGGCACTATTCTGGATCGCGGTCTTAGTTAATCAAAACTAAATGCTTGAGCACGGTTAACTGTAGACACTTACCTCCACGGGAATCATCGTTTAGAATTGTTTTGCAGACTAAAAGAAAGTTTGAATCAGAAATTTGTGAATGTTTAAAACTACGTCGATCTCAATGAAGTAATGTGAATAAATAAGCTAAGACTTTCTATGTAACGATAATAAACTTATAATGAAATAATGTAGTGATAAAATGAAGTTCAATATCATACAACATATCAGCCAAGTGCGTGTCGAATAATCTGCTAATAAATTAGATTATTTTAATGCAAACATTTCGTAATCCAGATAAGTGTTTATGGTTGTTTAACATTCTTTGGGGCTGGCGGTCTAATTGTAAAAGTATAGTTTTTGTTCTAGGCAATATTATCAGCGTTTATTTCACATTGAACAGGTGATCTCAAAAAAAAACAGCACAAGCAACAATTGTTTACATATTTATATGATAATTAAGAAGTATTTAATAAGGATAATAAAGGACAAAATACATCAGGTTCATCCTTCATATACAAATAAACTGAATATTATCAGGCTGATTGTAATATAAGTACAAGTAGTTTGAATTTTCCTATGACTAAAGCCTAAAAAATCAAAACATTTCTTGATTATCTGTATGGAGCATTTATTGAAGTGCCTATTCTCAAATTAATCCTATAACTTCTTTTTATTATATGTTTAGCAATAATGTGAGATAATTATACGTCAGCATACGGATTTTATTTAAATGTGTTGTGTAACATCTTAATTAATTTGTAATCTAACACTGTTTCATACGCATAAATTTATACTCTTTAATATTATCATTTCATGTCGACACTTGCTTTTCTATTTTCTGGAGATGCAATCTTTGAGCTGGACGGTTTAATCATGATGCTTTCGATATCCTTCTAGACATCATAAGTACATACTTGACCTCACCGTCCTGCTCAGAAAGCACAATATCTCCGAAATTTTCATCCCAAGCTACAAAGATTCTGTATCATCTCAGTTTTCTGTTACGGGGAAAATTGATTACTGTAATTACATAAATGATGTGTAACGATGTTTGTCCATTCATTCATTATTTATTCTATCACATTTTCGATTTACGTTGGTATTTCTGTAATTTGTTATTGATTACTATAAATGTGATTAACGATGAATAAATCATACAATCACATGATTATTACATTCACACATTTGTAGAATACAAACAGGACCAATTTTAATTTCTGGAAATGCTATCCTTGTGAATCAGCGTCAGGTAATCTTAAAATTATAATGTTATTTTCAATATGTTATAAGCTGTTTCATTATCCATCTAAGTTGACTGTGCTGTTTTCCTCTCTCGTATTCTTAATTAACTTTCATTACAAATTCTTCATTATTTTGGTGCAATTATAGTTTACGGATAAACCAGTCAGATTTAAGAAATTCGCGTTAACTTTTTGCATGAAAGTCAAAATAACCAAATGAATAATGAAAATAATATATTTGTAATATCCCAGTGAGTAAAAAAATTGAATTTTCTGACACTTCGTTACTCAGCGTAAGCCATTTCTCCCCTAATTGGGGCGTTATAGATATATTATTTTTATTATTAACAATCTAGTTATTACTCAGCTTGGTTGAAATTACCAAGTCACACGTTGGTAATAATACGTATAAACTCAAGCACAATGAATAGTTCGGACCATATTGGAAACCAAATATAAATTGTCTATATCTATATCTTAAAAGTAATAGATTTATCTATGATGCGATTGCACAATTAGTGTAGCATGATATGTTAGCTAAATTAAAAGAAACGGCTGCTCATGATACAGATTGTATCTGAAATGATAATTATTCGTTGATGATACTTGATGTTATTCAGCGCATAATATTTGTGATATCTCTCAAGATCCTCTATGCATGACGACGTAAATGATGTAGAAAATTACTCAGGAGTCGCCATCGATAAGGAAAGTTTTTATATTTATCAGGTAATCGTTTGTAAGCGTTATTTAATCCACCCTATAATTGGTACCTACATTAATAATGTTTAGGCAATGTAGTCACGACTAAAAATATGTGCCTTGCAAAAGTTCTCAATGTAAAATGATCTGAATTCATGTTAAAAAGCTTTAATATCTCACCCACGTTTATTTGTTTTACCGGTGAGTGTACTGCTAAACTTTATGAGCTTAGCAATCATATATACTATTGTGTTTATCACCTGCATTCTGATTTGGCACAAGGCTACTCAAGGTCATCGACGAAGTTTAATTCTACTTTTGTTTTGTTTTGTTCATCATAAATTTATATTATGTTGACCTTTTATCATTGTGAATTGTTTATCTAGAGAGGTAATCCTGTTTTAAAACAGATACGTAATGTTGCCTGGGAGTATGCAGATATTGATCCGGATTTTGTTGTAGGAAGAAATAATTGTATATATTTTCTAAGGTTAGTCGCATAATATTATGTTTGTTCTATCAACTCAGAAAGGTATTTCGATGTTTATATTACAGTTGACCAGAAAACTGAGATTTTAGAGCACTGTTTGTTTACAGCTAGTCAACTGTAAAAAATTTGTGTGACTCGAAAATGGCATCTTTACGCGTATAGCTAAGCGATTATCGATACAGAATAAAAAGACAGTTAGTGCTACTTATGAGCTCTAGTTAACACCGGAGAAATCCCGAGAACATAAAGTTTATAGCCAAAGGACTTGTCCATAATATTTCTGTGCATCGTTACCACCGTTGAGATATTTGTGAAAATGCTGTTTTCAGAATTCAGGATGTTTGCTCGACTGTGTACACAGGTAGTTCTCATGCATGTTCCCATCACTAGAGCTGCAACTGAAATGATAAGGTTGCAGATTGTTAAATTTGCGAGTGGCTGATGAATACACTGAAAATATATATGTTAGATAACGACAGCTACTATTATGAATATTAAATTGTGTTGAAAATGGCCATAATCGCTTTAGATTATTAAAAACTTTATAAGATCTGTTAACCCTGATAATATGTAGCAAAATTACGCTTAAAAAAACCAAAACAGACTCACTTTAAACGGAAAGGTGTTTCATATTGATGAATAATGACGAAATCCAGTATATTATGCATATCATGACTCAAATATAGTAATAAATGTAATGAGCTGTACTATTGGAGTCTAAAATAGTTAGTGTAGTTGAAATAATAAAACTTGTGTAGTTGGATTCGTAGTATTCTGTGTTGAGTTTAGGAAAAAAATATCGACACACCAGTTTATAAGATAGCCTGTGTTGACTACATTGTTTTCTTTCATCAGTGCTCAACAATTAGCAGTAGCCCATTCAGCTCCATAATTTGTGTTTTAAATATATCCCAGATTAATTTTGTACGTTGTCGACTAGACCCACTGTTTGGTCAGGTTTACTTCAACAATGCAGTATATTTCGCACTTACTAATCTAAAGACAGGTCGTAAAGGCCTATGAATGGTAAAAGTAGGAAACTGGCTCCTCAGTCATATCGGAGCGTAAATTTCTAAATGAGTTTATTTAGGTTGACACAGGTGCTAAGATTTATCATGCCTCAAATTCAAGGTTAACCTTATCAATCAAACCGTCTAGTTGATCGAGTTAAATTAAATGATATTGATAGCCTTGAAATAAAAAGATATTTATTTATTTAAATACATAAATATTTGTACAAGGGGGCACCAAATAGATATGCGCCACATAAATCATTCGATTTTTCGTGAGGGCTGGAATGCTGCCCGGGCGTCTAAACCAAGGCAGATAGTTTTCTTAGGGGGCTACACAACCCGAGCCTTTGACCTAAAGATCTGATCCACAAGGCAGTGGAGCATCGTAAGGAGATGCAGCCCCAAGGTAGCCGGTGACCAACGATTAATTCATACGCCATTTGTTCCCTCAGGGTAGTAGAGCCCATGTGCACGGTTGGTTTGAAATCAGGATTTTCCAACTCCCCTAGGTGAACTTGCCGTGTCCACCAACCCGGTTAAAGCGCCGGACATTCGCTTTTCGTTCTCTCACTTTCGCAAACAACGCCCACGCCACGAGAAGGCAGTGAGTAGGACTTCCCTAGTAGATGCTATGTACGTGTGGCCATGTGAGATTATTGTGTGAGAGAGAGAGTTGACTCTCTTTACTGTCGGTCGTACCAGGGCATTTTGGGGCTGAAACAAAAGGAACCAACGAATCAGAATAACAGCGGTGACTATGAAATTTATGCGCTATTTTACGAACGGAATTACGTACAGATTCGTAGTGAATACCATTTTATTGACGATATTTCACGTCTTAGCATGTTTAAATAATAACTTAATTGTAGATCACCTTCATAATTTTTGACTGCTGAGAAAAAACATTTCATGTAGCTGTATTTAGGAAATGACATTTAGATAAGATATGGAATTCGGAGATGAGACTGTATTAAGAAAACAAAAAAAGAAATAAAGACAAACTTCTCCAAAAAAAGTCAGTGTGTATATAAATATGAATGCACTAAATTGTCACCTTATCCTCACCCCATGGAAAGTAGTTCGAATTTTCCCATTTTATCAGAATGAACAACTCAAAATTAATATCAAATTGTTTACTTTTCTCCAAAATCAACGCCAGGTTGTCTAACTTTCCAATACACTTAGACCAAGTAGATCAACTCTTCAAGATTTGTCTATGGCCTAATTGCACGTCAAATGGCAAATGTTTTGCACAATTTATATATTTTCTGACTATAATAACAGACTATTGTACTACCCACTATATGCCTCAGAATTTCGGCGTTAATTCCCTAGGGCAACCGAATTTTCTATACTATCGACATAATTCGAAAAATTGATTTATATGAGAAAAATTTATTAACATGATTTGCATTAACAGTTGCCGATAATATCTACATGCGGGTAGCAATTATTCATTAACATTATAACTAACAGGAATGATTATTTTTAACTGTAACATAAAAAGAAGTAAAAATGTAGGTAACGTTATTAAACACACATATTTATTAAAAATGTCTCTTAGTTCAAACGAAATACTAACTCATTTATCCGGTTTTGAAATCTGTCCAAACAAAAGATATATTCGCTTAGGAGCTTGCTATAGTAATCTCAAGTTAAAACGAATTTACGATGAATTTAATTATTATGAGTTACATCAATTTCACATTGTTCCATCTGTTTCTCCTAAATATTGTTTGATAATTGCAACTATTATGAATGTTTGCTCTACAACATTATTAGTACTGTTATGTAGTGCCCATCAACTTTCAAAGACATTTCATTTGTATAAGTAATTTCCTCCAGCTTTATAACAGTTTCACAGTTGAGGTTGAACGAATCTCACTGCAACTACACAAACCATTCAAAGAGTAACCACCTAATAGGAACATGAATTTCGATATGTCCTTTTCGCAGTTATACTCCTATTCCTTCACATATTCTCTTAATGTATATTTGACAGAGAATTAACGTATCGACTCAATAGCGACTGAAACATAAATTAACTTTTTTCTTTAAATAAATGAGAAGATACTTACGGAGTATGATTTATCAGTGCCGTTTTTATGATATCATTTGAATATTATTCCACAAACTAACGTTTTTTACTATGTGATAGATAATTAAGCATTCGAATACTGCTTTTCTATAGAAACTCATTAAAACATGGTTGTACTCAGTTATTCCGTATTCATTTATTTTTTTGTCGGCTTCACGAACCTTCTGCATTCGTCTTTAAGGGGTCCGAGTAAACTGTCATTCATAAACTTATGTTATAGAAGTCATGTTAAATTTGATTGTTCCAACTAATTATCCGATTTCGCTCATACCATTATTTCTTTCCCACCTCATAAACAGCCCGACCGTTGCTGCTACCTTGACGTGGTGGTCGGGCTTGCCTATCGTGATGATTCAATCGAGCTATACTGGCGGGAACAATCGTTCCTCAAGGTCCTACCATGCCAAGCAGGTCGTTTGAAGAGCGGTGAGACTAAAAGCAGCAAACCCAAGGTCAAAAGGCGAAGTCGTACTGCTGACTGTACAGAGGTGTGACAGCAGTAAGGTGTTTCCTTCAGACAACCAGCATGACAGCGATGCTGCCTTCCCACAAGGAGGGGTGGGGTTAGAAAAGGTCGACCCAAAAAATGCACACCTCGCATTATCCCATGGATTTCCGTCTCCAGCGGTAAGGTCCCAACAATTACGGAGCTAACACGAAAATTACTAACAAAAAGGTCGTACGTGGTCGGTCTCAAGCAGTTGTCCCTTGGGCACTGCGGTCACGCTCTCAGATCATTAAGACCACTTCTAACCCAATTTCCTTTTCAGGTACCTCTAGAAGAACCCTTCCACGGTGTGGGCAACCGGGAAGTGATAACTGCCCTCATACCTCTAACAGCACTCAAGACCACTGTATTCATAATTAATCTCCTTCTTCAATTCCTACTATTCCTTCTACCTTGACTTTCAACACTAAACTTCCTGTTCCGGTTTCCTCCTCAAGTGTCACCATGGCCAACGATTCTAGTGCGCGAAACACTGTCCCAGGTCTACTAAAACCTAGCTCGAAACTACACGTTGGAGCCTTCAACGTACGTACTTTAAGTCAAATCGGTCAACAGACCTCCTTAGCTAAAACCCTAGAATCTCGTACCATTGATGTATGCTGTGTCTCCGAAACACGCATACAGGATCCTAGTGTGGTCATTCACTTGACCTCACCTCGCCAAAATGGACAGCCAACGAAATACACCCTCCGTGTATCTGGCGACCCGTTGGCTAGTTCTCGCGAACTTGCAGGTGTAGGCAGAGCACTAAGTACAAGGGCAGAACAGGCACTATTAGAATGGATCCCCGTTAACAGTCGCCTGTGTGCTGTCCGGCTAAATGGCTCCGTAAGAACTCGGAAGGATAGGGACACACGTCGTTGCCTTTTCGTCGTTTCTGCCTACGCTCCCACCGACTGCAGCCATGATGAAGTGAAAGATGACTTTTACAGAAAGCTAAGCGCTCAGACATAGTAGTCGTAGAGGGTGACTTTAATGCCCAGGTAGGCAGCTTAAATCAAACAGAAAGACATTTAGGTGGGTGTTTTAGTATTCCGGCTCAACGAACCGATAATGGTGATCGTCTGTTGCAACTATGCTCAGACAATTGTTTATTTTTAGCAAGCACTAATTTTAAACATAAGGAGAGACATCGTCTAACATGGCGACCACCTTAACCAAACCAACGATGGACTCAAATAGATCATATTGTCATCAGTCATCGTTGGAGAGGCTCAATAGAAGATTGTCGCTCGTATTGGAATACTTGTTTAGACTCTGATCACGCTTTAATACGAGCACGCATTTGTCTGCGCCTCAATGGACGCAGGAAAAGTACACTAAGAAGACCCATTAGGATTGAACTGGAGGACGAGAAAGCCAAATGCGAATTCCAGAAACAACTGAGTTCACATCTAGGCAGTTCTGTAAAAAAGACTGACACAGATGCCGCTTGGAAAGACATACGAACAGCTGTGGAAACAGCAGTAACATCTATTAGTTATTTAAACCATAGGGCTCCAAAAAACCAGTAGATTTCTTCTAAGTCTATTTCACTGATGGATTCGCGTAAACTCATCCCATCAGGCTCTGAACATGACGAAGAGCGTAAACAAATTAGATTTAGGTTAACTAAAAGTCTAAGGAACAATCGTGAGCAGTGGTGGGCAACAAAAGCAAAAGAGATGGAAAAGGCAGCGGCTGTAGGCAACACCAGGCAACTATTCAGACTAATAAAAGAAACCGGAATTAAGAAGTCAAGTGTAAGTGAGACAATCTCCGAAAAAGACGGAACCCTTATCTGCTCTCAACCCAAACGTTTACAACGATGGGCGGAACACTTTAAGGAGCAGTTTAGCTGGCCTTCAGCTACTGCACAACTACCCACTATTCCCAGAAAACCTGAATGAAACATTGAAGTAGGCACCCCGACCCTACTTGAAGTTCAAAAGGCTATAGGTAATCTGAAACGAGTAAGAGCAGCTGGTCCAGATGGATTGGCTCCAGAGGTCTTTGAATATGGTGGTCCAATTTTAGCGATTAGGTTGACTAATATTCTGACTAAAATATGGGGGACGGACGTAATCCCATCTGACTGGTCACAATCTCTGATTGTCCCAATATATAAGAAGGGGTCAAAATCATCCTGCGATAACCATAGAGGGATTAGTCTGACTAACATATTATCTAAAATACTAGCCTCAATAATTATCAGGCGCCTAACTAAGATTTGTGAACTGCAAACACGAGAAAATCAGGCTGGCTTCAGACCTGGTCGTGGCTGTATCGACCACATATTCACCATTCGTCAAGTTTTAGAGCACAGACACGCTTATCGGCGTCCGACAATGATAGTTTTTCTTGACTTGAAAGCAGCATTTGACTCTGTAGACCGAGAGGTTCTGTGGCAGTGTCTGTCATTGAAAGGTGTACCTGAGAAGTACATAAACCTTGTGAAGGCTCTTTACTCGAACACTACCAGTCGAATGAGAGCTTATGGCGAACTATCATATGATTTTACAACCTCAAGTGGTGTCCGTCAAGGCTGTCCACTATCCCCATTTTTGTTTAACTTCATTATAGACCTGTTGCTGGAAATAACACTCTCTTCGACTGAATTTTCAGGAATTGATCTTTTACCAGGAGGTTCACTTATCGACTTAGAATACGCAGATGACATAGTCCTGTTTGGTGAAGACACTGATAAAATGCAGAGTCTTCTGATGGAACTCGGTAATAATGCCAGGATGTTTGGGATGCGTTTCTCCCCATCCAAATGTAAATTGTTACTCCAGGACTGGCCGGCGTCAACACTTGAACTAAGGATAGGGAGTGAAGTAATCGAACGCGTGGACAACTTCACTTATCTTGGAAGTCTGATCAGCCCTAATGGGTTGGTGTCTGACGAAATCTCAGCACGGGTTCAAAAAGCTTGTTTTTCTTTTTCCAACTTACGTCACCTATGGCGAAGACGAGATATCCGTCTATCAATTAAGGGACGAGTATACTGCGCATCAGTTCGCTCTGTTCTACTTTACGGTTGTGAAACATGGCCATTAAGAGTAGGAGATACTCGTAGGTTACTAGTATTTGACCACAGATGCCTTAGAAATATTGCTCGCATCTGCTGGGATAACCGGGTAAGTAATAGTGAGGTTAGACGCAGGGTATTAGGGAACGATGGTAAATCAATTGATGAGGTGATGAATCTTCATCGACTGAGATGGTTGGGCCATGTGTTACGTATGCCTGAACACCGATTACCACGACGCGCTATGATGACTAGTACTGGGGATTGTTGGAAGAGAGTTAGGGGCGGCCAAACCAAAACGTGGCATCAGTGTTTGATGTCATTAACTTCTAGTCTGAGCCATGTTGGCAGATACAGACTACCTGGTTGGGGTCCGCGTGACTATCGTAACCAATGGTTGGAGACTCTAGGTGACATGGCTCAGAATCGATCACAATGGCGTAGGTGTATACACTCTTTATCTTCCTTTAAACCTTGAGACTAAAATTGCTTCATATCTCTCTTCCTTCCTGTACTATATCCTTCTATACAACCTATAATTTATATACTACTACCACCAGTAAATTAATTACTTCTATGAATCCGGTGTTCATCTTGTTGTGCTAACGAGGTATGTCAACTTGGACCGATGCATAAATGTGCCTGGTTCTACGTTGTCCTACTTACTACTTACCTCATAAACATGCGGTGATCGGACGAGAATCGGTGTTTCCAAGGTGGTATGTTATGTTCGCAAATAATAAATTTAGGCATAAGGAAAAACATCTTTTTTTACATGGTGACCACCTAATTTGTGCCGACGTTGAACTCAACTAGATCACATCGCTATCAGCCACCGATGGAGAGGCTCGATAGAAGACTCGCTCTTTTTGGAGTACACGATCATTTATGAATTTTAAAACTTGGTATTTAGTAATTGAAATATTTAAATCTCTGATCAGTATAACTTTTTTTATTATGTATCAAAATGGAAAATTCCAGCTTTTATTTCTAAATATTTTCTTATCTTGAGTGCTGTTAGAGGTATGAGGGCAGTTATCACTTCCCGGTTGCCCACACCGTGGAGGGGTTCTTCTAGAGGTACCTGAAAAGGAAATTGGGTTAGAAGTGGTCTTAATGATCTGAGAGCGTGACCGCAGTGCCCAAGGGACAACTGCTTGAGACCGACCACGTACGACCTTTTTGTTAGTAATTTTCGTGTTAGCTCCGTAATTGTTGGGACCTTACCGCTGGAGACGGTACGAGACAGTACGACTTCGCCTTCGGACGGCCTTATACCGTGAAATAATGTCTATAAAATATTATTACATTTGAAAGATAAACTATTATTTTTCTTGACAATGTGATTGAATAAACGCATTTGGTAACTATTTATTTCTGTTCCGATTTTGTTTAGCTTACGTTATCATAATTTAAATCCTGAATATATATTCGAGCGTTTACGTCAAACAAAACAGCATTATCAATTATCTGTACTTCTTGTTCAAGTGGATGTAGTAAGTTTATTAAGTGTGCCGCAATCTAAGAAAACAGTTTTCTTAGGGTATATGAGAAGTGAAGTTATTATCTTGACTAATTTTTTGAGCGTGAAAATTGAAGCTTTTATTTAACGAGTTTATTAATTATTCAGTGTAATATTTCCTTTATTGAAAGTGCTAAAATCACAAACTATTGTCATCTACTGACTAGGTAGTTAATCCGCAGTTTTGGATATACGTTCTGTATCAGTTAACAATTATTATCAAGTGATTTATTATTATTTTATTTATTTAAACACATAAATATTGGTACAAGGGGGCACCAGATACATATGCCCCACACAAATCTCATTTGATTTGTTTGAGGGCTGTAATACTACCCGAGTGCCCAGACCGAATCAGGCAGCTTTCTTAGGGGGCCACACCCTGAGCCTTTGACCTCAAGATCTGATCCACAAGACTGTTGAGCATCGTAAGAAGATACAGTCTCATGGTAGCCGGTGACCAACGATTGATTCTTATGCCGGATATTCGCTTTTCGTCCTCTCAATTTCGTATGCAATCATGATCAATTTAAGTTGTATTGAGTGCAAAACCAAGGTACTCGACCGGGAAATCGACTACGAATCCTAATTTCTCAATCTTGTTGACATGAATAATATGCAATTTGATATTTAGGCCATTTTTTGTTTATCAGATTGTCTCTATAAAGGGATCATAGTTCTTTCAAGACTTTTTACGACTCACAAGTATGCTATTCATTTAATAATTAATACTGTTATCATAGAGATAATCCATTGTAAGATCCTCTTAGGGTAATCTTATGTCTTTCTTTAAGGGTTCGTTTATTTAGGGAGCTCTAACTTTCAGCTACTGGGTTTCAGACTTGGATTTTTCCCTATCTACTTCAGTGCGGAGAGTTGAGTGTCACTGGTATCCTTCACACAAAAATTTGACTCAAAGCTAAATTCAGAAACTTGTGTATGGATAATTGCATTCTATACTTGTAACATTTTCTATCGGCGTATTCAGAGGATTCTACTATTGAATCTGATTTACCGTAAAATCGTATTTAAAAAAGATACCTCACATGAATTTAATCAGTAAGTTATTAGATGTCAGTCATTGCTACAGAAGAAATCCTAAAGAACCCAAAACAACAGTCTTGGTAGATCCCAAAAGTTTAAATCTTTTTTTCTTAATCTGATTGATTAAACATATAAATTAATACTAATTTGACCACTCATTTCAGAATAAATAGGTCATAACGTAGAGCCTTACACGTGTGTGTTAGCCGGAGTTTCTATACCATACTAACACGACAAGATGAAATTAAGATGAGTTGTAAACGAAGTAAAATAATATATTACCAATGATAATGAGGATTACACACTGAGAATATAGTTTTTAAAGGTGTAGTAACAAACTTTGAAGATACTGGCAACTTTAAAAAATCATTGATCTCGAAGAAATCTTAGTAGTTTCGGTAGTTCGTTTTGTAATTTTTTCAAAATTCCTAGGGTAGAGAACGTTTGAAAGCTAAGCTATGTAAATTTATATTGTAATCAGCGACAAAATCAATGATTTCTGTGATAGCTTCGTTCCTCACATCAGTTTGTACCAAATAAAAGATAGATTATTTGATAGAATTACCTTATAAGCTTCATTTTAAATCAAATCTTTCCATTACTCAAGGTTGTTTATAGTTGGTCAACCTAAATTTGAATAATTGTTACATGGTCTGTCTTGCTAATTTGATTGTTTTATTTCTTATCAAATGCATAAAAACAAAATAAAACATATACACTTCATTTCAGCCAGATCCATATTATCCGTTAAAAGAGTTATGTAAAATTTGTTGGACTGAGAGATTAACCTTGATGTTGGCTTGGAAGTAAGTTTATCTTTGCACCTTTGTAATTTAATAATTAATGAAACCAATGTCCACATGATTTTGTATGATAAACTTTGTTAGGTTGTTGGAAGTAGTCAGCAAAATATCCTGAACATATGTTTTGTGCTCGTCAATGAGGTGTACATACAATCTTAAGGAAACTATTTCTCTCCATAAGTTTTGTACTCGCATCACCCAGCTTCATAGTCTGAAACGTTACTACTGAGTTTTTTGAGCCTCAACTGACCAGCAAGAATGAGACATTTATAAATGATTGATCACTAAGTAGTAAACTACTATTATGCTTATCTAACTTCAAGAGCTGATCAAATTGAAACGTGATCACTAGTCTAGATAAATTCACATTAGTCACTACTCAGTGATTGACCATTTGTAAATAATGAGTTTTATTCTTCTGTTGAAACATTGTGGTTATTTAGACATTCAAAATTGATACATTTTGTTTTGTTGTGACTGATACAAGAAATTATTTTGACTGAGGTATTTTTTATCACGCCCAAGCGTATAAAGCGGGAATAGCTTGTTTTCCATGTGAGAGGAATACATGTTACAGAGGCTTCATAACTGATATTGTAACGTATATATATGCTGATATATAGTGACAATATTTAGAGAGCTTTTATACTTGACAGTTTTTATGCTTTAGTTGTAAACGGTTCCAACAATTAGTCAGTATTGATACTCAAAATATTGAGGTTTGGGCTTACTTACTTACGTCTGTTACCCCTCGTCGAGGAGCATAGGCCGCTCACCAGCATTCTCCATTCAACTCTGTTCTGAGCCTTCCTTTCCAGTTCTTTCCAGTTACTATTCAGCCTTTTCATATCTGCTTCTATTTCCCGGCGTAGTTCTTTGGCCTTCCTCTTTTCCGCTTCCCCTCCGGATTCCAAGTTAGGGATTGAGTCGTGATGCACATTGGTGATTTCCTTAATGTATGTCCGATCCACTTCCAACGTCTTTTCCTAATTTCCTCTTCAGCTGGAAGCTGGTTTGTCCTCTCCAATAAAACGCTGTTGTTGATAGTATCCGGCCAGTGGATGTTGAGTATTTTGCGTAGACAACTGTTTATAAATACTTGTACCTTCCTGATGATGGTCGTAGTAGTTCTCCACGTTTCAGCTCCATACAGTAGGACTGTCTTGACGTTCGTATTGAAGATTCTAACCTTGAAATTAGTTGAGAGTTGTTTTGAGTTCCATATGTTCTTCAATTGTAGAAATGCTGCCCTTGCTTTGCCAATCCTCGCCTTTACATCTGCATCCGATCCTCCTTGTTTATCAACGATGCTCCCCAGGTACTTGAATGTTTCCACCTCTTCCAGAGTTTCGCCGTCAAGTGTGATTGGGTTGGTGTTCTCCGTGTTGCATTTGAGAATCTTGCTTTTTCCTTTGTGAATGTGGAGACCTATCGATGCGGAGGCTGCTGCTACATTTGCTGTCTTCATCTGCATTTGGTCGTGTGTATGAGAGAGGAGGGCTAGGTCATCTGCGAAGTCCAAATCATCTAATTGATTCTGAGCTGTCCATTGTATTCCGTATTTCCCTTCAGATGTCGAATTCTTCATAATCCAGTCAATCACTAGAAGGAAGAGGAATGGGGAGAGTAGACAGCCTTGTCTGACTCCGGTCCTTACTGGAAATGCAGCTGTCCTCCATGCACCACTTTGCACTGTAGTCCATCGTATGAGTTTTGGATAATGTTGACAATCTTTTCAGGAACTCCATAGTGTCGAAGATGTTTCCATAATGTTATCCTGTCAAACGCCTTCTTATAGTCAATGAAGTTGACGTATAGTGATGAGTTCTACTCAACTGATTGTTCAACGACGATCCGTAGTGTCGCAATCTGGTCTGTGCACGACCAATCTTTCCGGAATCCAGCCTGTTGATCCCGAAGTTCGGCGTCTACTGCGTCTTTTATCCGATTCAGCAGCACTCTGTTGAAAACTTTTCCTGGCACTGATAACAAACTGATGCCTCTGTAGTTCTCGCATTTGCTCAGATCTCCTTTCTTTGGTATCTTGATGAGATATCCTTCTTTTCAGCCCATTGGCACTTGTTCCTCTTCCGAAATCTTCTTCAATAGAAGGTGAAGCATGTTTTCAGTTATTTCAGTGTCTGACTTCAGTGCTTCTGCTGGTATATTGTCAGGTTCTGTCGCCTTCCCACATTTGATTTGTCTGATGGCCATCGTGACTTCTTCGATCGTTGGTGGAGTGACATCTATTGGAAGGTCAGTGTGGGCTGCTTCGATGTTCGGTGGATTCAACGGGGCTGGTCTATTCAGCAGTTCCTCGAAGTATTCTGCCCATCTTTTCCTCTGTCCTTGAATCTCAGTGATTGTCTTTCCTTCTTTGTCCTTGACTAGTCCCTCCTGTTTACTACATCTCCCTGCCGATTTCTTCGTTGTATCATATAGTTGTCTCATATTCCCTTCTCTTGCAGCTTTTTCCGCCGTCGTTGCTAGTTCTCCCATGTATTTCTGCTTGTCGGCTTTAATGCTTTTCTTCACTTCCCTGTTTGCTTCTGCGTAGTCTGCTTGTGCTTTGACTTTCTCTGCTCGTGTTCGGCTGTTGTTAATTGCTAGTTTCTTGTTCTTCCATTCTTGAATTTTGTCCAGGGTTCCCATAGAGATCCATTCCTTGTGATGATGCTTCTTAGGATCAAGAACCTCCTGAGACGTTGAAGTTAGTGCTTCTTTTATCCCTCTCCAAAGTAGTTTCTTGTCCATCCAGTAGATCCTGTAGAGCTTGGAACCTGTTGTTGAGTTATCTTGAATTCGTGGGGCTTGTCAGTATCTCGAAGGAAGGCTGTATTGAACCTTTGTAGTGCTGTTTGCCCAGTGTTTCTTTAGCTTCAGTCTCATCTTGGCCACAACCAGGTGGTGATCTGAAGCTATGTCAGCTCCTCTCTGGGTTCTCACATCTTCCATTAACCTTCGGAATTTTTTGTTGATACAGATGTGATCTATCTGGTTCTCTGTGTTGTGGTCCGTTGAGATCCATGTAGCCTTGTATATGCGCTTGTGTGGGAATATTGTGCCGCCTATAACCAATTTGTTGAATGCACATAGGTTTGCAAGTCTCTCCCCATTTTCATTTCTTTCTCCTAGTCCATGTCGTCCAATTACATCTTCATATCCTGTGTTGTCCACTCCAACTTTAGCATTTAGATCTCCCATTAGGATGGTGAGGTCCTTTCGTGAGCACTTTGCTACAATTGATTGCAGCCTTTCATAGAACTGATCTTTATCATCGTCGTTGCTATCATTGGTGGGTGCATAACACTGGATAACGTTCATTGTGATCCCTTTCTTCTTTGTTCTGAATGATGCTTTGATTATCCTGGGTCCATGAGATTCCCATCCCACAAGTGCATTTCGTGCTTCTTTGGACAGCATTAGAGCAACTCCCTGAGTGTGTGAAGCATTTTCCCCTTCGTGACCGGAGTACAGCAGCATCTTTCCTGTACCTAGCCTTTGTTGTCCAGTTTGTGTCCAATTGGTTTCGCTGATTCCGAGTACTGCCAAGTAGTATCTCCTCATTTCCATTGCTATTTGGCTGGTCTTTCCTGTCTCCCACATTGTCCGGACGTTCCATGTACCCATAAAGAGTGTTGCTCTGGTTGTTAGAAGGTGCATCGGTCTCGTGACTTCCGAAGAATTTCGGCTTTCATCATGAGACGTCATAATTATTCCTTCGACTCCCAGGGCAGAGTTTAAATGGTTTGAATTATTTTTTCTGGTTAGCATTTTTTAGCGAGTTAGCTTTTCTACGGGATGGGGTCGCTAACCCCATGCCCATTCCTCCTACTTTACCCGGGCTTGGGACCGGCAGTAACTCTAGAAGAGCTACAGGCGGAGTTAGGTTTGGGCTTTACTAAACGAAAAATAAGTGAACGATACCTCGCTTATAAAAAGGTTATTAACTGTTCAAGAGCTGTGATAGACTGTAAGTATTTGTCTCCGACATTCGGTTGCCGTTTACTCCCAGAAGTTACAGTGCTACATTTCTTTGCATCTGATTAATATGCAAATATTTATCGTTTCCAACTGCCACCTCATATATTAGCCCGCTCTTGTTCCTAGTCACAAATTCCTCTGTCCGTGCGCCGTACCTCAGTTTGTAATCTCGAGCAAACACATTTGATCATCAATGCTGGAGTGGGGCCCTCAGTATTACCAATTTCTCACCCGCAGTCCTTTTGGCAGCATCAATTGTTTGTTTGTTTTTCAATATGCAGTCTATAAGAACTTCCATTCGCAATTTGGAAATGCGTCATACGTTATTGTTCTGCATACATTCGAAAATTATGCAGTACCTCGACGAGCACCCCCTACCCAATTTTACTTGGGCCCTTTCGAATGTTTTCATAGACCTCTCTACTTGTCTGTTTGGATGAGAGTATGGTAGTGAAGAGATGTGGATAATAGATTTTCAGCTGAAGAAATTTCGAAAATGATTGAAAGTAAACTGTGACCCCTTATCTGACAGCCCATTCTGAAAAAAATCTCTGTTAGTAAGTGAAAGGTTTTGTTTGCTCCTAGAGCTACCACGGGGAGAATCTCTAGTCATTTAGAGAACGTATTAGCGAAAAGCAGACGGGCTAAGCCTGTGTGCTCTGGATGATAGGTCTTCATGTTGTGGCCACAGAGCTGGTGGTACCCGACCATCATGTTTTACTACTTGCGGAAAATTAGAGAGGCCGTCCACAAATTTACACAATCTGTTAGTTTTTAAATGATCAGCAGGCCAAACTTCGAACAACAGACTTCATACGATGAATACCTGGGTGACTGCAGTAAAAGATGTCAAGGAACTACCACGTGGTCCAATTGTAGATCAGTTATTTGCGATAAGTAATGGTTCCCAACTATGAGAAATTCGTTCTACCTCTCCATTGAGAGGGTTTTGTGACCACTCTTTCATCATAATCGGTAAAGATTGGTTCTACTAAGTCAGTATCAATTTCAAATTGTGAGACTACAGAAAGATTTACACTCTTTAATCTGGTTCCAAGGAACGTACTTACTCAGAAAATGTGGAGACCGGGGACGGTGTATTTAAGGCAAAAATGCCTAATAATCAATAATGCTCAACAACGAAGCAGATACATTCGTTAAAACAGACATTTTATGTGTGGCTTGGATGCTATCTGGATCTAGTTGGCAGCACATATAGGTTACAAGTACTAAACTGGCTCCATATGTTAGAATCGGTTCCTCCAAAACAATCGTGCCTGAGTCCTCTATATGGTCAAACCGACGGTTCACAGTTCAATTCTGAATAATCCTGAAAGCAAAAGTGGAGGTGATGGGAATGTTGAGTCCTTAAATAAAATTTAATAGGAAAGAATTAAGTGGAAGATTATACAGTGATTTAAATGTGATTTCCAGTATAATATTTATTTGTGATAGTTCTCTTCAAAGATTGTTAAGTTTTGTAATCTTTTAACTGTGTATAACGGAATGAATTAGAATGTTAGTTTATTTTGATGGAGCTTCTAGACAAGCTTGGACTTCTACCCCTAGTTAGTGGCCGTAGAAAAATTAGATACGAAGCAGTATCGTTCACTATCACTGAAGTTAGAAATTATTCCCGTAATGCACAAACAAAGCAAAATTGTTAATCGTTTTTTTTTTAAATTTCAAAATATACCATTTTTACGCACTTACAGCATGGAGGAAGCGGCAAGATATTTAGAAGCTTATAAAGCCTTGGAAAACAAGCCTCCAGATAACTTAATGGTAGAACCAGCCACACAAACAGATCATATCGCACAGGTTACAGATTTCTTAACTTCGGTTCGACGTATAACAAAAGCTGATGCTGTTTCAGCGATGAAAAAGTTTGATGTAAGTGTGAATATCCTTCTAGTTTTTATTGTTTGCGGTGAAGCTATAACTTATAGATGACCTTTGAGCGACGCTAAAGTGACCTTGAAAATGTCCACCTTACTATGGCTAAATGAGGTTTATAAAATAGTGTGAGGAATTAAGAATATGACTTACAGTTGATGGTTAGGGTTAGGAATCATATTTGGGGTTTACATCACGAACTGGCATCAGCTAAAATGTCAAAACGCTATTTAGCCAGTGGATGGATGAATTTCGTGTCAAAATCCAAGACCTGTTATCCTAAATCTGATTGGTCCATCCGTAAATAATAGTCTCACCGTGTTTGCTTGAGTTGTACTTGCTTGTGTGTAGTTGACAAATAGTTAACAGTATGTGACATAAAACAGATATTACTGACTAACAGTTGATAAACAACTCAGTTAAGTAGCATATAGCTAGTGAAGTATTCGGTCAAATATTTTCTCACTATACAATTCTAAAGATCAACAATGAAAAATAACTTGAAAAACCTAAGTTCTATCAACATATGTTCTTAAAAGAATCAAGTGGAGCAGAATAACGTGCTATACGTCTCTGATTATGTCCATAAGTGTCACGAATTTAAATCTTTGAGTGAAATACACCTTGATGATTTAGATCTACACTTTCCTGTTCATCATTTTTAACCATCTATAACAGATTTAGTTAAATTAAAATAGCTTAGATCCTGATGATCCTAATAGTTATTGAAAAAATACTCTGATAAACATCACAGCATTTAGTATTTGGTTCTCTTAGGTTGACGCGATAAACTACTTATTTCGCTCATTATTATACACAATCATACGATTCAGATTGCACGAAATAACAATTCACCTAGAACATTTTCAACTTAATAGTTGACTAGTATGCATTTAATCAAGGCAGATAGATTAAAACGAGCAGTCGGGAATTCATAAAAACAGATTTACTTCCGTATTCTATTGATAAGTGAGTAATAAAATTGATACTAGCAGGTTAATACGTTAATAAGTTGTTTTTGAATAAAAATTAAATTTTACAAGGATTCGATAGTTTTTCTAATTTTCTTTTTCAATGTAAACTTTCAGACGGTAGCCGACATAATACGAGCTGATCAATCAACTTTGGAGAAGTGCCCTGGTTTCGGTCAGCTTAAGGTATGTTGAAATTTTCAAGTAATTTTATTTTAAATATATTTATAAAAGCCTTAAGGGGAATGCGCATTACGTAACTATAGGTTCTATTTAAAAGGCCGAGTAAAGATTTCCCTCTTCCGATAATTTTGTTATTGTGGTATACTTACTGAACAAACTGTCAATTGTATGTTTCTACTTAGGTGGATAAGCACTATCTACGTATTCAGTTCGTTTAGTTTCTGATTAGAGTTATAAAATTACATCATCGTTAACTGTGGTTATTCTGTATTCTGCGTGGTAGTGCAGTTGCAGATTACTGAACATACCTTTGGAATCTCAACAATTGTACATTTCCAGTTTGTTTGTGTGCGTCAGGTTTGTTCGAGAATACTTCATAGTTTCTTCAATTGTTAATTCTCTTAGCGATGTTTTTCGATTTTGCTTGCTGGTTATGATTTGTTGTAATAAGATTTTTGTATTTCACGTTCGTAATCCTTCTAAATTACATAATCCATTGCGAATGTTATATTGCTAGTAAGCCTAGGTGTTATTCGTGAATAAGAAGTTGTACAATAATAACAGAGATCATGATAATACCCAGTATTCACATGTGTACTCAAAATGAACTGTGTATAACAGGTATTATTATTTCAACAATCTCAACAATATTTCTAACATCCTTACACGAAATAACAAAAAACTTTCATTTTCTATTTGCAGGCCCGTAAACTCAGTGAAGTTTTCAGAATGCCATTTATAAAGAAAAATTCATGATATGAAATAGAGCAAAAAAACATTCTGTACATATTTTGCCTAAATAAAAGTTTCTGTTATAGTCGGTAATTATGGTTCAGTAGTAAACAAGACAGTCTTTATATTGTTCCTTGCGTTGACACATAAAACGTATGATTCACAAACTATACCACCATTTTAACTATAAAAGCTCCGGCGAGACTATAATTTATGGACGAACCAGTCAGTCAGCTACAACGTAGGACCAGGCACATTTATGCATCGGTCCAAGTTGACATACCTCGTTAGCACAACAAGATGAACACCGGATTCATAGAAGTAATTAATTTACTGGTGGTAGTAGTATATAAATTATAGGTTGTATAGAAGGATATAGTACAGGAAGGAAGAGAGATATGAAGCAATTTTAGTCTCAAGGTTTAAAGGAAGATAAAGAGTGTATACACCTACGCCATTGTGATCGATTCTGAGCCATGTCACCTAGAGTCTCCAACCATTGGTTACGATAGTCACGCGGACCCCAACCAGGTAGTCTGTATCTGCCAACATGGCTCAGACTAGAAGTTAATGACATCAAACACTGATGCCACGTTTTGGTTTGGCCGCCCCTAACTCTCTTCCAACAATCCCCAGTACTAGTCATCATAGCGCGTCGTGGTAATCGGTGTTCAGGCATACGTAACACATGGCCCAACCATCTCAGTCGATGAAGATTCATCACCTCATCAATTGATTTACCATCGTTCCCTAATACCCTGCGTCTAACCTCACTATTACTTACCCGGTTATCCCAGCAGATGCGAGCAATATTTCTAAGGCATCTGTGGTCAAATACTAGTAACCTACGAGTATCTCCTACTCTTAATGGCCATGTTTCACAACCGTAAAGTAGAACAGAGCGAACTGATGCGCAGTATACTCGTCCCTTAATTGATAGACGGATATCTCGTCTTCGCCATAGGTGACGTAAGTTGGCAAAAGCCAAACGAGCTTTTTGAATCTGTGCTGAGATTTCGTCAGACACCAACCCATTAGGGCTGATCAGACTTCCAAGATAAGTGAAGTTGTCCACGCGTTCGATTACTTCACTCCCTATCCTTAGTTCAAGTGTTGACGCCGGCCAGTCCTGGAGTAACAATTTACATTTGGATGGGGAGAATCGCATCCCAAACATCCTGGCATTATTACCGAGTTCCAACAGAAGACTCTGCATTTTATCAGTGTCTTCACCAAACAGGACTATGTCATCTGCGTATTCTAAGTCGATAAGTGAACCTCCTGGTAAAAGATCAATTCCTGAAAATTCAGTCGAAGAGAGTGTTATTTCCAGCAACAGGTCTATAATGAAGTTAAACAAAAATGGGGATAGTGGACAGCCTTGACGGACACCACTTGAGGTTGTAAAATCATATGATAGTTCGCCATAAGCTCTCATTCGACTGGTAGTGTTCGAGTAAAGAGCCTTCACAAGGTTTATGTACTTCTCAGGTACACCTTTCAATGACAGACACTGCCACAGAACCTCTCGGTCTACAGAGTCAAATGCTGCTTTCAAGTCAAGAAAAACTATCATTGTCGGACGCCGATAAGCGTGTCTGTGCTCTAAAACTTGACGAATGGTGAATATGTGGTCGATACAGCCACGACCAGGTCTGAAGCCAGCCTGATTTTCTCGTGTTTGCAGTTCACAAATCTTAGTTAGGCGCCTGATAATTATTGAGGCTAGTATACTTAGTGTTGTACTTAGTGCTCTGCCTACACCTGCAAGTTCGCGAGAACTAGCCAACGGGTCGCCAGATACACGGAGGGTGTATTTCGTTGGCTGTCCATTTTGGCGAGGTGAGGTCAAGTGAATGACCACACTAGGATCCTGTATGCGTGTTTCGGAGACACAGCATACATCAATGGTACGAGATTCTAGGGTTTTAGCTAAGGAGGTCTGTTGACCGATTTGACTTAAAGTACGTACGTTGAAGGCTCCAACGTGTAGTTTCGAGCTAGGTTTTAGTAGACCTGGGACAGCGTTTCGCACACTAGAATCGTTGGCCATGGTGACACTTGAGGAGGAAACCGGAACAGGAAGTTTAGTGTTGAAAGTCAAGGTAGAAGGAATTGAAGAAGGAGATTAATTATGAATACAGTGGTCTTGAGTGCTGTTAGAGGTATGAGGGCAGTTATCACTTCCCGGTTGCCCACACCGTGGAGGGGTTCTTCTAGAGGTACCTGAAAAGGAAATTGGGTTAGAAGTGGTCTTAATGATCTGAGAGCGTGACCGCAGTGCCCAAGGGACAACTGCTTGAGACCGACCACGTACGACCTTTTTGTTAGTAATTTTCGTGTTAGCTCCGTAATTGTTGGGACCTTACCGCTGGAGACGGAAATCCATGGGATAATGCGAGGTGTGCATTTTTTGGGTCGACCTTTTCTAACCCCACCCCTCCTTGTGAGAAGGCAGCATCGCTGTCATGCTGGTTGTCTGAAGGAAACACCTTACTGCTGTCACACCTCTGTACAGTCAGCAGTACGACTTCGCCTTTTGACCTTGGGTTTGCTGCTTTTAGTCTCACCGCTCTTCAACCGATCTGTCTGGCATGGTAGTGTTATAACGTATAGATTTTTGGGCCGACTAATATATATAAACGTTCAATGATACAGTAAATACGTACGAGCCGTCCACCTAGACTTCTTCGTATCCAACTCCTTAAAACAGATGAAGCTCTTTTCATCCATGAGCTCAAGGCAGAACTGTACGAACAAAAGAAGTACATCTTGTCGTAATCGTTATCTTGGCCTTAATCTATTATTATTACCACTTGTCACTTCGTATCTAAAAATACCCCCTCTCCCTTTACTTGTGTCCCATATCCTCATGATTTTATTCATAATTGTTTCTGATATCACTTCACTATTACCTTTAATCATCTTACTTCATTCACATTATAATCTACCGCTAACTTATTAATTTTACGAGGCTTTCCCTTTGCGCACGCACAATCTTTTATTGCTATCTCCTTATGTTGTATTTCGAATCAGAAGAGAATTAAATGCCACTGTTAAAGAGGGCACTCAGCTATATAGTCCTGAGTAGTAACGGGATCGTAAACGCAATTTCAGTTCAGCACTATGCTTCCAAAATATTATTGACCCAGCCTCCCAATAGTTAAGGGAGTGGAACTGGCATGTAAAAAAAGCGATCTTCGCATTACAGATTTCCTTTAATGATTAATAATTAACAGAACATGGTAGAATGACAATGTGGGAATAATTAGTATAATCGAATGCTAACTGAGCGATTGCACTTATCAGTCTCGCTTCTGACCGATTCTCATAAGCTTACACAAACGTACACATCCTTGAAAAAAGTTGAATCATTGATACAAGGGAGATATTAAACATAGGATTTCTGGTTTATTAATAGCTTATTTTGAGGCTAACAGTAATAGGAGCACACAGACGATAAAAGCTGAAAACTAGATTCAGAGAACATATGATTAGAGGCAGTTGCGAAATTTCCTCTTTCTAACTACACATCAGTACGAATGAAACCTGAGGTCAGAGCATTATGACGGAGTGCATGAAAATGCTCTGGTACAGCCGAGGGTGAAGAAAATCCGCTCCCCCACTCGAAATCCTCTCATATGGCCACACATATATATCCACTGTTAGGCGAGCCCCCATCGCCTTTTCGTGGCGGGAGTGTTATTTACGAAATTTAGAGGACCAAAAGCAGATGTTCGGCAATTGACGTGAATTGGTGCATACGGACGATTCACCTAGGAAAGTTGGAAAACTTTGATTCCAAATCGATTCCAGGGTCTTAAGGTAACAAATAGCGTTTGAATCCATTCTTGGTCACTAGGTACCATGAAACACCATCTCCCCCGATAGTTGTTACAGAAACGACGTGAACCCTTTTTAAAGATAGGGACAACTATCGACTCCTTCCATGATGTTGGAACACTCTATAGCTCCCAGACCTTTGTCAACAACGTTGTCAGTGCCTTAATCAGAAAGTCACCACCATCTTTAAAAAGAGACGGAAGTAAATCATCTGGGCCCGGTGATTTGTAGCGTTTCAAGAGTTAGAGTTCGTTGCGGGCTCCCACCTCATTTGGTGGATCGATCGTCACCAGTCATGGAGGGCAGGGCAGTCTGATCGATGTCGCCGGAGCAGCAGGTCAGTTGAACTGCTCTTCGAAGGATTCTACCCATCGTCCAAGATGTCAATGGATGTTAGTGATTGGCATCATGTCTTCCTCACAGACTTCTTGCTGCCAGTGGCTCGAAAGAGTTGAAAGAGCTTCCGGAAGTTACCAGATGCAGCTGCTGCTTCCAGCTCATCGGTACGCTCCGACCACCAGGTTTCTCGTAGTAGATCTTGACATCAGGGTTACCTTCGATTCGTTGGACAGGACTGTTCTCTGGGATTGTCTATTGAAGATGGGTGTGCCTGAGAAGTTTATTAACATCTTAAAAACCCTATATACAAACACATCGGGTAGAGTGAGGGCATACAACCACCTTTCTCCATTGTTCCATTCAAGCAGTGGGGTTAGAAACGGTTGCCCAATCTCACATTCCTCTTCAACTTTGCCATCAATGAGATTCCAGAAACAGCTGTGATGGATGTAAGTAACGGCGGTGTAGATCTGTTGCCTGGAGAAAGACTTATCGACCTTGAGTATGCGGATGATATTGTCTAACTGTGCGATAATGCCCAAGCCATACAATCTGCACTTAATCAGTTGGAAATCAGTGTCCGTAGGTACGGTCTGTGCTACGCACCTTCGAAGTGTAAAGTACTTCTACAACACTGGCAGGCTTCTAATCCTGTACTCACCCTGGGTGATGAGCAGATTGAAATAGTTGAGAAGTTCGTGTATCTAAGTAGCCGCGTAAGTGCTGGTGGTGGCGTTAGTGATGAGATCGATTCACGTATAATGAAAGCCAGAGCGGCTTATGCCAATCTGTGCCACCTTTGGCGCCTTCATGATGTTATTCTGGCTGTAAAAGGTCGGATCTACAACACGTCGGTGAGAGCAGTTTTGCTCTATGCTCGTGAAAGCTAGCATCTCCGAGTTGAGGATGTTAGACGACTCTCTATGTTTGATCATCGTTGTCTCCGAAGGATTGCTGACATCCAGTGGAAATACCATATTAGTAATGCAGAGGAGCAGCATCGTGTGTTCGGGCGCAGAGACGATAATTCATTTGGTGTGACCATCTTGAAACATCGACTTCGGTGACTTGGACATGTTCTACGAATGTCGTCCCAGAGACTTCCACGTCGTGTATTATTTGCCGACGCTGGGACTGGTTATTTATTTACTTAAACACATATATATTGGTACAAAAGGGCACCAGGTACATATGCGCCACACAAAATAATGAAAGTAGGAAGAGAAGGGATGAAAAGATAAGGCGGACTGAAATGTACAACCAGAAGACTCTTTCAGTTAAGAAAGTTAGAACCATTCTTTATGTAGAATGTAAAAGAAGGTTGCAGCAGGATCGCCACTGGCTTCTATTCTGAGCCATATCTGATAACGTCTCTAGCAACTGTGTTGCACCATCTCTCGGACCCCAGCCAGGGAGTCGTGAAGGACCAACAGAAGCTAGCCCTTTGCAGCTTTGTTTCATGCCACGACACCATGTCATACACTGACCTCCTCTCCGCTTTTTCCAACCAGTCCCAGGGTCGGCAAATAATGCACGACGTGGAAGTCTCTGGGACGACATTCGTAAAACATGTCCAAGCCACCGAAGTCGGTGTTTCAAGATGGTGACACCAATTGAATTGTCGTCTCGGCGCCCGAATACACGATGCCGAACCTCTGCATTACTAACATGGTGTTGCCACTGGATGTCAGCAATCCTTCGGAGACAACGATGATCAAACATAGAGAGTCGTCTAACATCCTCAACTCGGAGATGCTAGCTTTCACGAGCATAGAGCAAAACTGCTCTCACCGACGTGTTGTAGATCCGACCTTTTACAGCCAGAATAACATCATGAAGGCGCCAAAGATGGCCCAGATTGGCATAAGCCGCTCTGACTTTCATTATACGTGCTGGGACTGGTTGGAAAAAGCGGAGAGGTGGTCAGTGTATGACATGGTGTTGTGGCATGAAAGAAAGCTGCAAAGGGCTAGCTTCTGCTGGTCCTTCAAGACTCCCTGGCTGGGGTCCGAGAGATGGTGCAACACAGTTGCTAGAGACGTTATCAGATATGGCTCAGAATAGAAGCCAGTGGCGATCCTGCTGCAACCTTCTTTTACATTCTACATAAAGAATGGTTCTAACTTTCTTAACTGAAAGAGTCTTCTGGTTGTACATTTCAGTCCGCCTTATCTTTTCATCCCTTCTCTTCCTACTTTCATTATTTTGTGTGGCGCATATGTACCTGGTGCCCTTTTGTACCAATATATATGTGTTTAAGTAAATAAATAACCAGTCCCAGCGTCGGCAAATAATACACGACGTGGAAGTCTCTGGGACGACATTCGTAAAACATGTCCAAGCCACCGAAGTCGGTGTTTCAAGATGGTGACACCAATTGAATTGTCGTCTCGGCGCCCGAATACACGATGCCGAACCTCTGCATTACTAACATGGTGTTGCCACTGGATGTCAGCAATCCTTCGGAGACAACGATGATCAAACATAGAGAGTCGTCTAACATCCTCAACTCGGAGATGCTAGCTTTCACGAGCATAGAGCAAAACTGCTCTCACCGACGTGTTGTAGATCCGACCTTTTACAGCCAGAATAACATCATGAAGGCGCCAAAGATGGCCCAGATTGGCATAAGCCGCTCTGACTTTCATTATACGTGCTGGGACTGGTTGGAAAAAGCGGAGAGGTGGTCAGTGTATGACATGGTGTTGTGGCATGAAAGAAAGCTGCAAAGGGCTAGCTTCTGTTGGTCCTTCAAGACTCCCTGGCTGGGGTCCGAGAGATGGTGCAACACAGTTGCTAGAGACGTTATCAGATATGGCTCAGAATAGAAGCCAGTGGCGATCCTGCTGCAACCTTCTTTTACATTCTACATAAAGAATGGTTCTAACTTTCTTAACTGAAAGAGTCTTCTGGTTGTACATTTCAGTCCGCCTTATCTTTTCATCCCTTCTCTTCCTACTTTCATTATTTTGTGTGGCGCATATGTACCTGGTGCCCTTTTGTACCAATATATATGTGTTTAAGTAAATAAATAACCAGTCCCAGCGTCGGCAAATAATGCACGACGTGGAAGTCTCTGGGACGACATTCGTAAAACATGTCCAAGCCACCGAAGTCGGTGTTTCAAGATGGTGACACCAATTGAATTGTCGTCTCGGCGCCCGAATACACGATGCCGAACCTCTGCATTACTAACATGGTGTTGCCACTGGATGTCAGCAATCCTTCGGAGACAACGATGATCAAACATAGAGAGTCGTCTAACATCCTCAACTCGGAGATGCTAGCTTTCACGAGCATAGAGCAAAACTGCTCTCACCGACGTGTTGTAGATCCGACCTTTTACAGCCAGAATAACATCATGAAGGCGCCAAAGATGGCCCAGATTGGCATAAGCCGCTCTGGCTTTCATTATACGTGCTGGGACTGGTTGGAAAAAGCGGAGAGGTGGTCAGTGTATGACATGGTGTTGTGGCATGAAAGAAAGCTGCAAAGGGCTAGCTTCTGTTGGTCCTTCAAGACTCCCTGGCTGGGGTCCGAGAGATGGTGCAACACAGTTGCTAGAGACGTTATCAGATATGGCTCAGAATAGAAGCCAGTGGCGATCCTGCTGTAACCTTCTTTTGCTTTCCTCATAAAAAGTGATAGTAACTTCGCTAACGGAAAGAATTGTTTCTGGGTGTAGTTTTGCTAACTGAGCTGTTTCCGCATTATAATTTTTTCACTAATTTCCGTTCGTTATAGTTCCCGTTTTTCTTATACATACCTTACGTTCTTTATGTCTTCCCATTCTCGTCGTTATTTTGTGGCGCAAATGTATCTGGTGCCCCTTTGTACCAATAATTGTGTTCAATTAAATAAACCACATTTTGACCTTGCCACTTACTTGCTTATCTATTCTGACTATTTTTAAATGAGCGTATGTATGCACACACCTTATCCCACTCATCACATGTCTGTAGCCTATTGTTATCTGATCAAATGTAGTTGACTCACTTGCCTTCTCTACCACGCGTTGTTTCGCTTCGCTCTCTTTCCGTTTATCCGCTCGTTTGTCTGGATCAACGATTGTACGAAATATACGTATTCGAAATTCATTCTCGTATTTGACTTATTTAATTCCGTTATTCACTAACTCGGAATAAGTCGATAGTTGTATACGAGGATAGCCGATATGTATATTTTTGACAGCAATCATTCACTAACGATCATTTGTCCGACCTAACTTGAGTCAGATTTCGGGCCACGAAAGTTTAGTCTAATTTTAAGTCCCACAACTGTAGAGGATAAAACAGTCTAAAATCACTAAACAGTTCACAGTCAATAAGTACTGGCACGCTTTCTGTCTCATTTTTTCTACTTTTGGGTTTGGATATAAGTATTCAGTCGACTTAAAGATACACTGCTACAGTATAATGACTTTATGGTGGTAAATAGTGATCTGATAGTTCTGATACTTATAAGAATGATATGTTCACACGAGCTACCAGCTAAACACCCAAAGTGTGATAAAGGACGTTATACAATTTCCACAAAGGAAATACTACTAATGAATCGTGAGAAGTGTTATTTACGATTTTGGTAGAACTCCAAATCATACGCGTCAAAATAGTAATAAATGACAAAATTTGCTCTCATAATATCATGTGTATACTATATTTCACTAATGTTTAAACTTGTTACAGATCTAAACTTTTATAAAACTCCTAGTTCATTGTCAGTAAACGTCTTAGGGTCAGGAAGTTTTTCATGGCCCTGAAAAAAAGGATTAAAGATATACCATACTTACAATCAATTCTTCAGGATGATTAATGCAGAAATAAGTAATCCAAGCCCAGAATAAAGTCATTAGTAATTGGCTTTTTCTTTCTTCTTTAAAATCTCGCTCAATGTAATCCCTGTACATAAACCTGAAAAAGGCAAATTCGTGGTAAGGGCAAGTCTGCAATACATAAATAAAGCATGAATTACAACTTTAAATCTCAGTCTGAAAATCCACTAAGATGTCAAACAATAATAAAGTGGCTCATTTAGTTTAAGTATTTAAATAGTTACGGTTGTGAAGGTAGACACACACAGGTGGTTGAGGGATATGATCAGAGTTATCAGTTACTGATGTCCTCAAAATCCATTGTAGGAGAACACAGAGAGCTATTGCTAGGAGATGGTTGTTAAGCTCACTAAGTCTTCAGTAATCTATCGAATTTTTTCAATATTGGTTACTTACAATTGGTGGTACGACCTTCCTGGATAAAACTTTACTGTTCTGAACAAACAGACAACTGCACTCTGAAATCTCGTACTCATTCATTTCTTATTAAAATATTACATATACAAATAAACACACAAAATAAAAACAACCTTGGTTTCATGCTATAAAAAGGAACTCTTTCAGAAGAACTGTCGCTAAATTCTCGTAGGATTATAAAGCGTGATTTGAGAAATGGTCTCAGTTTCCCAAGGAACATCGCACTCTTTATTATATGATCTCTTAGTTGTCTAATTATATTCTGAAAACTTGTGAAACACGTTGTTTTTGTCCCGTCAAATAAGATCCTGCAAAAATTAAAAGACGAAAAAGAACATTATGACCTGAAATCGTGTGACAATCTAAATAGATTTACTTAGATAATCTTATCAAGGGTTTATAAGACCTTGATTGATAATAGGACTACTATAAAATTTATGGTGGAAACCAGTTGTCATATCAAAAACTCCGCGTGTAAGGTAGTAGAAGTGTTGACTTAAGTTATTTTAGAATGCAAAGTGTACGGCATCATCGCAAAGACTCATTAGATAGGAGCTTATTCAGAATCAAATACATTAGGAGAAGCGATGCTTCACTAGTAAACCTTTTTAGATATCTCGAAGACAAAATAAAGAAATCTGTAAGGATTTCGAAGCATTCGGAAGCAAAGTAAAAGCCTAACAAAAACCTATGGCCTAAATAATGAGCTTCTGGTTATTTTTAAATCCTTTGAAATGACACCTACAGCAAAAGACAATGTAAGGTAGAATCGAATGAGTGTAAATCTAAGAAATTATGTGTAACAAATTATCCTTCAACGAAGTCGATGGAATAGAAAGAAAACACTGCCATAATCCATTTTACCAGCGAGTGCAAGTTTTCCGTCACCATACACTACTTTCAGACTGGCAAAGGTTGGAGACAAAGTTTTCAAATTTGAGAATTACCAGCTTGGCACTCTGTTCTGAAAGAAATAGCGCGATAAACCACTGCTCCGAATGCGACCATCCATAAAGCGACAATCAGCTTGATCCATGTCGGAATTAATGTACAGAAAGTATTCATAATGACCTGGAGAATATTTCGAAATCGCAATCGGTGTTACTATGGGGACAGCTAATTATGTGTAATAGCTGAAGATTTATGTGAATGCCTAACAAACACAGGATATCAAATAACAAAATCCCTTTGATAGCTTGCTATAGAGACCGAAAAGTTGCACTTATTCCTTGAGAGCGCTGAAAACATCTGCAAGTTATATATACATATATGGTAGCCTGCTTAACGTCATGGACAGAACTGGTTGAGCAATCACATACCCGACAAGTATGCCCAATAACTGATGTATAACCATAAGATCCTCAAATTCTGAAAGCTGAGAACCTAATCGAAAAATACCGCCTTAACACAAGTGGACTATAACATTTATCTAGAAAACGACAAGTGATTAAGGAAGCGAGTTCATTTATCACAAAGTCAACGAATGAATTTTTATGGCAGCTCATCTATCAAACAGCTTGATTCTGATAGAGATGAACTCAAAAAAATAACCATTTGAAACATATGGTGAATTAGTTCTGGCACATACTCATAGTTACACAAAATATCTACAAAACTACACATAGGAATAAAGGACCGTTTAAAAACAGAAATAGTCGGCATGGTATGTGCTCACTACATAACACCTTCATGTCACTACTTATTTTAAGAAGACTATACTAGCAGATGAGCCAGTGGTAAAACCATGAATAACAAAAAAAGCATCTTACCGTAGCGCGCTAAGTGTAATTACCGCTTTACATTTATATAAACACGTACAATAGTTACAATTTTCGAACCCATTACATTTCCAGTAATTAAAGGCTGCCACCAATGCACTGCGAATCCCTTTCCCATTTGTACTACATATGTAACTATACGGTTCCATAACCACCTGCTGCACATGAAGAAAATACTGAGACCTACCTTTTCGGCAGTCTTGTCAAACTCAAGGCCACTTCTTTCTGCATCCATTGCTGACTATTTTTACCCTACTCTCGTGAGTCTAAGTCTACCAGCACGGTGGGCACAAGTTAAAGGCAATGGTTCGTTGATGGAGGCTGCTGAGCACTTGAAGGTCAAACCGTCGTAGAACGATTGGTGCGTCACCTCGACAATTCGTAAGGTTTTGCAGAAGCGGTCAAAGCAAGACAGTTTTAGACTTGATTTGAGTTCAGCCACACTATATCTGACAACGTCCATCTTTCAAGTAACGAAAGTGATGCCATCGTAATGATGCATGATATAGCATGAATCTTCAATCTTGCTATCGTAAGGACTTACCAGTTAAGATAACTTCAGAACCTGCCTGAAAGAAGTACGTAAGGTAATAAAACTCATGCTTCGAATCATATAAAGACATATGTCCCCAAGTCATGCTTACGTGAATGTTCGCCCTTTCATGTGTAATCTTCCGAGGGTTTTCCTCATGGAGCGTGGTGATGATGTTCTGGTAAAATGCTCGTGTTGAGGTTGTTCCTTAAAAACTCCTGATATTGAGACTCGATAATCCATATCCATTCTTTTTATCTCACAACGAAACGCTCTGTTCTCTTAAAAAACTCCTGAAAAGTCGCTTGGACTAGCTCGATCGGCAGCGAATTCCAGCATTTGACAACTCTTACGTACTAGATGTTGTGTCTACAGTCTGCTCTGCCATGTTGGGTCTGCAGTTTCTGGGTGTTACCTCTTAGATTAGCCTAAGAAAATGTTTAAGGGGATTAACAGCAGTGTTAAGGATACCGTAAGTCATAAGAAGGTCACCTCTAAGACGCCTGTACTCTAAGGGGTAAATGTTAGGCGAATGGAGGCACTCATCATGAGGTTTGAATTCGGGTCCTCGAACTGATTTCGTGACTCGTGGCATTCTGAATGGTGCCCCTGATTATCTGGTAGCACTGCTATTACTATACATGTTAATCACAAGGCTGAAAAGTAAAAAGAGACATTTTTAGAAGGAAGTACGCGAAACAAATGTTACGAAGGAGAAAAATAATAGAGATAAGCAAATGTGTGCTACACAAGAATATAACTTCAGAGACAAATAAAATTGCCATAGTACCTCTGACCATCATAGCAAGCAACTACATGTGGATTCAGTAATTTGTCCACAGCATGTGTTTGCAAGTCAATGTATGTGTGCACGTTGAAGTTGAAGCAACGTGTAAGAGAACAGTTGACTGAGATAACTAGATCTATTGCACATCGGTTTAACCTTGGTATGACTATTGCTGTTGCATTTGTTATTATAGTTGTCTGCTGTCCAGATGAAGGTGTAGTTGTTATTCCTGGACGTATTCATTCGTTGCAATATGGTTGAGGAAAATTTGATATTTCTGATAACTAGTGAGAGATCAACGAGGTGACATCGTTTTCGAATAGTGGGTTGGTGAAATGTTCAACACATTTTCAAAAAGTGTTTGTAAGCCTGATAATCCCTTTTCTCTTGTGTCCCGTATTACTGTGCGTTTTCAGGCTTTTTATATGGTGTAATAAGGGCAATACGGCTAACCGACTGCACCGGTTTTAGTGAAGTTCAATGTTATATGTTGTTTCATATATCTTGAGTTCTGTTTCAGTATGGGAAGGATAAGAGTCTGAGTGTTTTCTGTTGGTGTTGATATTGTTGGTCTTTCAGTTGATCAAACTATTTTGTGGACGAGTCGGCAGATAGACCCCCAATCAAATCTTGAGCTAAAGAGTTCCAATCGTTGATGATTAGATGGGAAATTTATAGTGACGTGTATATTTGACAATTATCTGGGCCACAAAACAAAGGACATGTCTTGACTTTTTTCTTGGGACCTCCCGTGTGTAAGTACATTTATATTCAATATGTATTGCTTGTTTGTATCAAACTTGAACGGAAGTTGTTATATCGTTAACCGACAAATATCATACTTTTGTTTTTAAAGTAAATTTTAGGGACCACAGTAAGTGATTTGTAGATTATAGTTGTGTCATAACCTAATTTTGAGCTATTCTGCAGTATGTGTGTTTATTGGTATAGATTATTATCCAATAACCCCAGCGGAATTGTACTTCGTTCCATGTGGATGATGCCAAACATACGGAGCAACATTTTTAATCGAGCGAACTCAAGTTGTAGTGGTTACCGAAGAATGGACTTTCAAGTAACATTTCTTACATCACGGTTGTTATAACTTCATCACTTAATCTACAATTTCGTTTTGAGTGCTATTTTCTGCCTTTCCCAATTTATATAAGGCCGATTGAGGTCATAGCATTTATGTTTTGGCGTACTATTATCTGCATGCATATTATCTCATCTTGACTAAGTTCTTTCACGGGTTCACTAGCAAGTCTTTCATGAGCTGAAATTGGGAATTTCCTTCAGGCACCCTTGTAAAATGAGGTCATGCCCAATACGAGGTCATCATCAAGTAGTCTGAAGTCTGTCATCACGTTGCATCCCATCCTTCTATATAATAAAAAGTCAGGTTTGGGAAGACTGTCGTCATACGGCGGCCTTGGGATTCGGAGAATCAACCTACTTGTGGTTCTCTCAACCCTTTCTAACAGTTCAGTGTCTTGTTTAACGCAGGCGATGACTTGTTCGTAACACTCGAGTTTAAGACGAACGAGAGCCATGTCACTTTGAGGCTTTTAACTTCAAATATGGATAAAGTTTGCTCTTAATGTGGGTTTTAGTCATTCATTTGCAAACATTTGGTGCAGGCCTTATTTCTTCCCTGTTTATATTTCATTGATATATTCGTTATATACCATAAAATGTCTGAATCGATACAGGATGAAAACAAGGAACATAAGCATAACATATCACCGTCAGAGATGGAAACTGTTATGACCATGAAACACTAACTCGGAAATTTTGATATTGGTAACCTTAAGTTGCTGCTTGTTGAAAGTGAGCGTTTCTTCATGAGGCCGAAATCCGATGAAATTCCATGCTGAGATTCACGCTATATGTTCACTTTTTTAGTTTCAGAAAGCTCCCAAAATCCTCGCCAAAAATACGAATGTATATTAGAAACAGGAGTAGGTCACCAAAGTGACCGAATTCCGGGTCACAAGCAGGACGAAAACGTCCAGACCGTCTGGACAGTTATGTTGGGATCACTGGATGCTTGGTGCCTAGTCTACCTGGTGCAATCAACCATTTACCTGGCATAAACAGACTACCAAGAGTGTAGGAAACGTTTAAGCCCTTCACAGGTGGTAGAGACGGAGGAAGAGTGCCTTTTCAGTCTCTTGTTTTCAGTTAGGGACAAAATTCCCAGCTTGAAGGTTTTGGTAGATACAGTTGCCACGCTTACTGTCGTTCCTCAGAACAAAATCTGACTAGGTCGGTGAAATCTCACAGGTACAGTTCGAGCTGCCAAAAAAATTCAAATTGAGTCGTTCTAGCGACGAACTCTGGTGCCGTATTTGGGATTCAAGAGACCATTATTCTGAGTGTTAATCTTAGTTAATTCAGATCTGGCGATAATGGGAATGGACGTTTTGCAAAGGTATGAATTCTTAATTGACACTGAGAAACGATATCTTACACGAAACGGAACTCCACATTATACATCAGACAAAGTCACATAAGTTTGTCAAATTCGTGCAAACTGACAATCGCTAGTCGTGAATTTGCATACATGCTGCAACTGGGCGTTGTCCGTTCTACTGACGGGCATCACCTCTACACGTGATTTCAAAGAGAAATGAAGGTGACTGGCTACCGTGTGGGGATTGCAGGTCCCCCAACCGTGAAGCCGTACCAGATAGGTACCCGATTTATCATCTGTATGATTTTACAGACGGTTTTCAGGGTACGAACAGAATCAGTCAAATTGACTTGTTCAGAGAACATCACGACATCTCAGTAGCTGGAGAATATATCCCGAAGTCAGCGATTTCTACACCTTTTGTACCGCTCAAGTTTGTATTTATGCTATTCGGTCCGAGGAATGCGACTCGAACATTTCGAATGTTTATGGACAACCTACACGTCCTATGCCTATTGCATAGGGGCATATGGAGAATTTGTTGATCGGCGGTCCTGATTTAAAATTAAATAAACAACACAAGGTAGTCGCATTACAGCGGCTAGATGAAATTAAATAAATGTAAACCAAAGTAGTAGCGTTTTTGTAGTTCATACTTTGAAATTTTTCGCACGCCTAATCGGCTCGACAGGGTTTCACGAAATAAAATTTAGGGCTGACACCATCAATCGAAATATAACGTCAGGTGCAGAATCTATTTTGATGTGCCCCTCTCATGTATTTTTCTAAGCTTCGTTCTTAGAGTTCTAGTAGTTTGTAACTTTCTATTGTTGTCTGCATTTTGTCCACTTGTCTTCATTTATGAGGGTACTTAGGATCATCACCAGGTTTTGTTTGCCAATTTTTGAACCGTCTAATCTTCCGAGAACTATGAGTGTAAAACTTCTCGCATATTTCTTTTTCATGAATTTTGTTTGACTTGGGCTGAGATGTTATTGTTCACAAACGTTGTAAAGCTTAATGGTTACTTTTATTCAGAAATGGCATGTGCTCGAGATCTGTGGCGCGATCTTTACAAAATGATATCTAGTTGTGACGACTCAGAGTCCGGTCATACCTAGTTGCTTTTTTCATTTGTTAAACTGATGTCCTATAACGAACGTCTATTGTCATCTTTATGTGCACAACCAAATGATGAAACAAATTGTTTCTTTTCTCTTGTTATTCACCATTAGTTATTCCCTTTTGCTTACAACCCTCACATTCAGATTCTGAGTCTCTCTACTGTTTAAAGTCACATTATTTTTCCAATGAAGCGTCATGTCCCTTTATTTTTTTATTTCCATTTCAATTAGACAGATAACTCACCAACCCTTTGGATATTGCTCAATTATGGTTGATCACGAGACGCTCTTAACGTCCTAAACCATTGTGAGTTTCTCATAATGATTTGTTTCCTTACTTACTAATCTTCTTCTTCACTCATGACCTCACGTAGCT